CGCTCTTCCCGTTGCTGGCGTTACTATTCGAAAGATGCGAACAGGCGACCCAGAGCTCGGACAACTCCACGTCCGAAAGCTTCAACATGGATATACAGGCTTTCGTCCAGCACCAAGAAAGAGACCGAAAGCCCTTCCTGATCAATGACCCCGAGATTGACGGTTTGGTAAGACTGGAAATGCCTTTTTGTTGTTCTTGTCTTTAGTTGTTTTTCGTATCATTCGATGCGCTTGTATAGTAGAATCGAGATCGCGACTCGGGGAACAAATGAAGCGTGAGTGAAAAGACGATCGTCATTAATGAAAATCGAAACTCGTTCCTCTCGCGGACATTGCAGATGATCAAGGCGATACAGGTGCTGCGCATCCACCTTCTGGAATTGGAGAAGGTGCAAGAGCTGTGCAAGGACTTTTGCAACAGGTACATTACATGCCTGAAGGGCAAGATGCAGAGCGAGAACCTGTTACGCAGCGACTACAGCCACCATGGGCACGATATGGGTCCATCGAGTGGCAGCAATGGCAGCAGCCCGTTGCAGGTTAGACGTTTGTCCGATATACGCCCCCCCGGTCTGTCTACTCCCCTTACCAACGTAGATATCCTTATAGTCGAAGAGATGTACGCGCGGAAGGGGCAAGGGTTATAATTCGCCGCTTCGCGAGATTGTTCAACCGATGAACCGATTTTTATATACCACGCCACGAGCGTACATCTCTTGAGATGATTACAAAATTCCCATCCCTGCTCTCTGACGGCTAGTTGAGACATATATTTGCCAGGTGCTGTCATCTACAGGCAATGATGTTGAGTCGGGAGCTAACGGATTCAGAGTGAGCCGAGGGGACTCCGGACTGGCGGAGAACGACGGCGCGAATCCGCGAGAAGAGAGCGATAATCACGATAATCAACCGGTTCGATCGTCGTCTTCCGCCATCCAGCGCAACTCGGGCAAATCTGATAGCCAAGACCGCGACGATCCACTCTCACCGTCCGCGGTGCACGGAAGCACGCCTCTCTCGCAGATCGGGGCGCACGGATGCGCCCCGGTTAACGACATGTATCTCGGCCAAGGTGAGTCTAATCCGCGAGAGTTGCCGTCGAATCGCTCTTTTTATCACTCATTGTCGCCGATCGAATATATAACTGCTCTGGCCAATGTAAGGTCGGCCGAATCGCGATACGTTGTCTCCTTTCCGTCGACCTTTTTCTTCTTTTCCTGGGATAAATCAACATTTCTCGACAACTTTTATCTTTTTTATAGCGAATCTGGTTAAAATTTATTATAGATGACAGTAACGAGTATCTACGAACTATCTCCAACAGAGTATATTTGGAAGAGGCTGGATACTGGGGACTAGTCGCGTTGCGAGAACGGGAAAACGCGGAATACGCGGATGTCGGAAATGCTAATGATGAAAAGTATTTTGGTTAGGATTATAACGTGTTTCTTTTATTTCGTGCTACATATATAAATATACGCGTGCGCAAAAAGCAAAAAAAAAAAAAAAAAAAAAAAAAAAGAGTATTAACTGTATTTCTCTCAACGTATCACACAAATTGCTGTTATATTATCACGTTGTAAATTACGAGTATATCAAACACGTCGATCGTGGTTAGACATTACTGTTGCAGGCTCACCTTCTCCGGTGGCGAGCGAGGACGAGGAGGAAGGTGCCAGCAACGCGGCCTCGAATCACGCTGGGAATCATAGAAGTAATCACGGTAGCGCTAGAAAGGGACGTCAGAAGCGAGGTGTTTTGCCTAAACATGCTACTAGCATTATGCGAACGTGGCTCTTTCAGCATTTAGTAGTAAGTACTTATCTACCTGATAATTTATTGTGTGCATTGTGTGCAGAACAGTCGTATAATCTCGACACATTTAATTATAACCTTACGACACACGCATATTTATCGCAGCATCCTTACCCAACCGAAGATGAAAAGCGTCAAATCGCCAGCCAGACGAATTTAACGCTGCTACAAGTGAATAATTGGTTTATCAATGCTCGTCGACGAATCCTACAACCAATGCTAGACGGCGCGGGTGCGGATGCGGCGTCGCGCGCTGGTAAACGTCACAAGGTTTCGAAACACGCTGTACAACAACAAGCGACTCAACAACAACAAACAGGCTGGCAGTCCGATGACTCGGCAAGTGATTCGGGTTCTAGCGACGGTGAGGGAGGTGCCGCTAGATCGAAAGACGGTAACGATAGCGATGAAGATGATCTTCACTGACCTCTGTCGATCACCGAAACGTCAACCTCTTTACGGTACCTTCAAATCCAGTTGCTCATTACAGTATTAAGGTATTCGGGTATAGATATCGCTTTAACTGTCAAATACGTAATTAATCTTGCGAAAGTTAAGAATACGTGGGTAGAGGTTATCACGCTCTCTGATCATTCGACACTCTGACTATTCGTCATCTACCCAATCTATTAGTTTTTTTTTATGACTAACAATTAGTCATAAATGATTATTTTGCTTCTTCATATGGGAAGCTTTGTTTAATCTCGGTTCATATCGTGGTGAGAATATTAACTTTATCATGTATAACACATGAGAGACGAGGACTGAGATTGAATAGGTACTAGAAAGAGCAGCTTACTTAAATATATCTAATTTAAACGAAAAGATACGTTTGCATAAAGCTATGAAATGTTATTTATTTTTGATGACAAATTTTCAAGTGAATAACCGCGCGAATAGTGAAGATAAATCTGAGTTTTCTTTCGAATCATAATCTCTTATTAGTTTAGTTATTTTTTCTTATAACTTACATCTCCCCCTCATGATAATATTATTTATGACATCTATAAAAAAATGTAATTAGAAAAATATACGTTGTTTAATTTAAATGTAATCTTATTAATGATTCATCGGACAAGAACTCACTATGAAAAGATTTTCTTTGGTGGTTATGTACATTTTCAAACATATATTATTGATGAATTATATCGCGTGTATAAATTTTCTTTTTTGTATATTTTTAACATAATACATTAATTGCCTCAATATCAATTATTGTCAGTTTTTTGTCACACACACACAAAACTATTTATTTTACTACATTATTATTGGTATTGTTACAATTAATACTGTTTCCACTATTTGACTACCTACTACTACTACTACTATTGCTATTACTCTATAACTACTGCTATTATTACTATTATTACTGTACTGCTATTACTAGTAATAGTATTACTACTGCTATTGCTATTCCTTCCATTAATGCTATTACTACTATTACTATACTATATGACTTTACTATTATTACCAGTACTATTACTACTACTGTTACTACTAATACTATCGCGCTTCCGCTACCACTAATGCTATTGCTATTACTGCTATTACTAATACTCATACTGCTCCTATTGCAATAATTGCCATTCTTGCGTTGCAACAAAATACCCGGTATCCGCATATTTTTCGTTTGCGATTATAATTCGTGTATAAGCTTATTCAGAGATAGAAATTTATTAATCTGCTTTGTATAATGGAATGCAATACGCGGACAATGAAACGGCAATTGAATCATTGGTAATTAGTATATAATTGTAAATCATTTGATTAGACGCATCACGTTTTGTAAAAAGATAAAAAATGGATACTTACTTAATTTTCAAATTAGATGAGGACATAGCTCATAGTAATGCAATATTGATTGTATTTTTCGTGCCATTAAAGAGCGTGGTAACTTCCGCGTTTAGTCTTTGTTCAGCTCTGCAGTGTCGTGGCATAGCAAAGCGCTGTCCCTCCATGATAATAATAATAATAATATAATACAAATAAAATATAACTAATAATGATAATAATTATTACGCTATTGATAATGATAATAATTATAATTATAAAATAATGATAATAATGATAATAGTAATAACAATAAAAACAGCAACACAACACACAACGCAATGATGATATATAATACTACATTAAATATATGACAATTATATATTTTTAAAATCTAAGTGTCGTCCCTGAGCGCGCGTATACTGCACGTTACTACTGTACATATTACATGCGGAACTGTAGTGTGAGATAGAGAGAGAGAGAGAGAGAGAAAGAGAGAGAAAAATGAAACAAAGAACAAATATTACCGAGTATGTAAAAGAGAAGTTAATACTTTTCTTATTACTGAAAAAAAATGGATATATCCGACGACATACATTTACGCCATCTTTTTTTAGAATAATATTAATGTTTATGCGCACTAGCTGTCTACATGTGATCATTACGTTTTACTATTAACGGCAGATATTCTTCTTCCTTGAAATACTTTAATGCTCGTTTATTTCGAGCTTTTCTTCTTCGAATCCAGCAAGTTTTGATATCGAAAACTCGCAAATTATAACTGTTCTTGCTGAAATATATATTCGTGTATATACTGTTCTTCCCGATACACATATACGCATGTACATTTATGCTTTCCCAATCTATCGTTTCCACGCGATCCGTCCATCGAGATTTTTACATAAGTGGTTAAAGCCATTTTATCTTGTTAGTTTTTGGGACGTAAAATAACGTAGTGAAAATTAGTTCCAAATCGATACAGTTTCAGTAGAAAGATGTTCTTCCTCTTAATGTGAACAGTAACACAGATCGTGGAGAATTCTCGTTTCGGCTTAACTTATCTCAGCTTTGCCAATACATTGTCACCGTCGTTTTCCTCATTCGGATTAGTTCTCGATAAGCGAAACGACACTAGTCACTCGATCATAGGAAGAAAATATGTCATATGACGCAGCCTGCAGTGTCAAAGTGTATGGTTGCCTTAAGAGTATAGCCAAATATTATTTCTCTCCTGTTCCTCTCCATTACTCTCCTCTTATATATGTATTGACTTTCCTGATGTATATAGCCAATTGACAGAGTGCTTCCATTTATAGTAGCGCGCAACTTGTTCGTATTGAGAATGAATTCTGTAGTTTTTATTGTTACTTTTATTGTTCTATTTTTTTTTTTTTTTTTTTTTTTTTTTTTTTTTTTTTTTTGAACATACCGATTTTTTTGTATGCAACATAAGCTTTGCTTCAGTCGCTTCGAACGATTATGATATCGTAATCGCACGATATAGATACTTGAAAATATATGCGATACAACTCGAGTAAAACGATATTATCAATTGCAGACAGCTGACAGTATAGCTCCGTGTGTACGATATAGCCACGACATCAGTCCGCTTAAAAGTAATAAACAATCGGTCGCAATACAATAAAGATTAAAACTTGTGGGGACAAAATATCACTCAATCTAGTCTTTCGATTTTTTGAAAAAAGAAAAAAAAGTATGGGGAAATGCACCCCAAAGGGATCTGCATACTATGCTCAACCGGATTGTTTGTAATAAGCAATAATATACGCGATCCAACGCGAGATGAAGAAAGAAAAAAATCGTTTCCCTAGCAAATATTATTGCTTTAACAAAACCGCCACCTCTCTCTCGTCATACGGGACTATACTGTATCCGAGAGATAAATAAAATTTCTAAGATAACGTTATAGATTAAGAGGTAGGTTGTAAGGCTGAACCACGTATACGTATGTGCTGCGGCACCAGACAACTGTGATAATTCGGTGGGCGGTGCCCAGCCTCCTACTTCATCCTTGTATACTAAAAAAAAAATAATTAGAAATGAAGAAAGAGCGTAAACAATTTTACCGAGGAGAGGTTGAACGTATGTCGGGACGTGCGTTGTAGAAATGATTTTTTATCCATATGCACGTGTGCACGAAAAGTCGCGAAACGCGTGGCATTTAAAATATGCGCTATTGGCATATTTTCACTTTAAATACTTTCCTTTCTTTACGTATGAGGATGTTCCCGTATATAAAAAAAAAATTATTACGACGCGTGCATATAGATACTCTTTATACGATAGAAAACGTAAACACTTTTGCCGCATTAAAATGTCGATGCGAAAATTATCTATCGAAAACTAGATTAAAGAAAAAAAAGAGGACATAAAAGTAGGAATGGGCACGCAAAATAACAAATAGTTTATTAAATAGTTAACAAATCGTGATCATCGACGCAGACTTTTCGTCGAAATTTATGGATGAATCCAATTTGAGAAATTACATCTGCACTTAGCATCTTGCGAATTGCACGTCACTTGTTATTAAAATATTTGTATGCACATAACATAATTATGCAAAGACCCATGGCTTTATTTCATAATTATATATTTTCTTATTGTAAAAATATCGAACTTTCATATTTTTAATTTCTTGGAATGACCTCTCTACTTTGAACTTTTTCTCCACGTTTATTTAGTAATGTGAAATAAAAATGTCATTTGATTCGTGCAAGTTTTCGTTCTATGCAAATGTGTTTGAAATGTAAGATTGCGTCCTAAAGTAAAATCCAGAAATCCAATAAAGCAAACCAAATAAATGTAAATATTCAGTTTATAGACATGAAGTCTAATAAGAATTGAGAGAGAGATTACGATTAGAAAAAAAAGACTATATATATATTTCTGAAATCTCTGAATCAATCTTTTCCAAGAACGGCCCATTTCTAACTTTGTCCATGTTTCAAGTCGTAAATGAGAAACATATTATACACTTACATGTATACTAAAAAAAGGAAGCATAGATATATAAATTAAATACTTCTTTCCCATGTACATCAAAGCCCTGTTAAATAAGTTGGTTATCGATAATAAACGCCATCACGCTTGCATTATTTCCTTTTTATTCTTACCGTAACATGTACAAGATACTGTTTATTAATACTATTAATATATCTCTATATACATTATGTTTTCATTCCATGGCTTTAATGAAAACCTGTATATACAAAGTGAAAGTTAACACAAGGAAATATGAAACAAATCGAGACTTAATACTCGTGCTAAGTAAATAAAAAACATTATGCATTTTTTATTATCTTGAAAACATTAAATCTAAACCTAAACCACCTGGAAAAAAAGAGAAAGATAAATATATGTATATCATATGACTTCATATGCCGATTTTTTGTAATATTACACGAATAACAAATTTGTATCGTTACTAAAAGTACCCGTTGGTATCGTGTCAAGACTTGTAATCCTTCACAGAAGCGAGAAATCATGTGAACGTTTTTCTAACAAAGTACATGGAAATAAATTAATTTTTTTCTTATATCACCATTCGTGTATTCGATAACATAAATTCTTGTAAAATATACCGAAGGAACCCTTTTTTCGAATCATGGATTAATAAATAACTGTGAATCTTAATTTTCTCAAATTCTATTTTTGCTGGAAATGTAAGATACATATGGATGAGGTACTCTTGTATGTTTATTAATGCAAGATAAAAAAGGAGTTTTCGACTTTTTATCAATTCATATTATTGAATATGATTGATGAAAAAATTAATTTATTTTGATGTATTTAGCTAAAACTTAATTTCATATAAGTTTTCGCTTTTTACATCATAATTCAATATGACTGTGGTGAGGAAACAGGAGTTTTTAAAATTATCAGTGCAGTAATTTAATAAATATATATATATAATATATATACAAATACAAAGCTGTTAAATATATCGAGTCTTCCGTCTCGATTGTCCTCTTATGTTTTTTTCTCGTACATACATATAAAATTTTATAATTTAAACGCATTTAATTTACAGTACAGATGGAGCCATATCGTACAGAAAGAGAGAATCGCAGAAAAGAGGAAAGATATGTCTGGTGACTTACATTTCGAAAATATTAAGGACGCATCAATTAATAATCTTTCCTTCCATTGAACACAATGCACATGTGAAACGATGATGATAAATAATAAAAATAATTATGATAATGAGATAATAAAGTAACATACTTGGAAATATATGAATTAGAAAAAATCGTCCGAGGGCGCACCACACATAAGGTTAAAGGCTAGTTATTGGAACATCTGGATCTTGATGATAATTATCTAACCTGGTCATTGATATGTGGTCCGCGGCGTATCCCTAGCAATCGACGGTTCTCCTGAAGCAGAACGTCATCGGTGTTATATTATTTATTTAATCATCTTTAAATCTGCTTAAATATAATACTAACCTTGAATTAAATAAAACATCAGCTCGATTATTGATAAACCACACTAACACAAACGAGGTACCGGCGATTAAACTACCCAGAATCATACTGAAGCGTTCTGTCGCTGCTGATGGTTTAAGAAACATTCTAACACTCAATGTTTGCCATATAGATTCTGTCCAAGTCGAATAGATCCCCGATTTCATGTCATATCCTACAACAGAGGATATACTATTAGGAAAGTTCGTTAATGGATATACCAATTGCGAGTATCAGTAACCTACCATCGATGATAAACGCAGGACTTACAGCTGCGCTATAATTGACAGTCGAATTTATACATAATCCTGAAAAATTGAATCCGCTCATCCAAACGAGGCGATTCTCGTAACACGTTGTTTCATTCATCTCAAAAAGCCAATCGCCAGTCAGAAAAGCCAAAAGCTGGCCCGTTAAACTTGTTGCGGGATTGGGCGCCCTGTGCACACCGACGTACAATGGTAGGACCTGATTAATCAATTTAACACTAGGCGCCGAAGACGCACGAAATAGATCACATTTGGCGCTCTCTAAGTAACAATGTAGCATTTTCGTGATAAGTTCTTTCATGGATATCGGTAGATACGCGGGCTGCGGGTCTAGCTCACCCGTCACCATCCGGTAAAGTTCATTAGCGACCTGAAGAGCAATTCTCTCTAAATCTGATGCAAGCGCGTTACTATCGTTGCTAAAACATAATACATGATGAGAATCTCAATGCAAAACACATGAAATATGCATAAAAATTTCAAACAAGAGCTACATTAATACCTATTAAAATCGAGACTCTCTGCATCATCTAAAATACCGTTATAATAATGATTCTTAAACTGTTCCTTGTGATTGCTTATAACAACGGTCGTTAGATTCGGTTTTGCTTCCAGGAAACTTTGCACGGACGTAGGTGGAACACTACCGTTTAAAACACTACTGTTCAATGCCTTCTGCAAACGATTTATCATATCGTCTTCGCCATTGCTGTGAAGAAATATTTCTCCTGTACCTAACTGACCAAACTCAATCACGCTCTTGATGTCGTCGATGTTTAAATTGATTCCACCGAGAGCATTAAAATTGTTCTGTTTCAAATCGTATACCATACGACTAGATCCAATGTAATCAAATGCCTCTCCATTCAGCAATGAGAATACAATGTTTGTCTCTAGATATAATAGTAATAGAGATAAATATATACATACATTGTACGCGCGTAGTGCAATTAAAGATTATTCTTAACAATTTCACAGGGAAGATTGATACGTACTATCAACAGTGGCGTTTAAGTGATTCAAGTAGTATGCAGTAGCAAGTAATGTTATAAGTCCTGTAACAACATTACCCGCACCAGGTGATATACCGTCAAATAATGATGATGCGTCCAATCGCGCCGTTACTATTATTACTGTATTATTATTCTCATCGAGAGGCGCTAAAGGCCAATGTATGTTTCTGTCTCCGAGTGGATCGCAAAATTGCGTCGGATGAAAATTTAACTTGAAATCGGTACGTTTTATACACGATTCCGAGTTAACAGCAGCATACATGAACGATTTCATTTCTATTGCGCAAAGAGATCTCTGATACTGAGTTTCGAGATCGTGAGCGTTATGTGTCTGAAAACAAGATTTTATGGCCTCCAAAACAGTTTGATTCTGAAAAAAAAAAACATGTTTTTAATATTAAATGTGTCTTATATCGATCGTCGTATATCAAACTTTTACTGATAATTTTATAGATATGAATTTAACCTCTGTATAAAACATGGGAAATGGCCAATCTTCCATGAGTAACGCAGATCCAACAGAATTCCATGGTTTCGCGTTGTTACATTTTTTATAACCAGAATATCGATTTGGACACGTGTCTTCAGGTGAATACGTTGACGGACGTTTACGACTAGTATTTCTCGTTAATAGCAATCCATTTATATTATTAGTACTTCGTAGTTTTACGAGTGTATTTCTAGTAAACATGTCAAATGGAAGGACTACAGTGTACGGACCAGCAGTGGCGTTTTTTTCTATCCAAGTAATGTCACCATCTGTCTCTATCAGATGCACGACACCTACACTTCCCGATCTACTGGCTGTAAGTAAATGAAATATTGTAATTGGGTGTCTATAAAGTAGCGTAAAATAGCCCATATTGAAGATGCAGGTTACAACTCAAAAAAACATAAGATAAATATTAATTCTTACAAGAGCATCCAAATTGATGTGTGCCATTGTGTCTTCGGAAACAAGCAGCTACACCCTCTAAAGGCATGTAAATCATATCCTTTATTCTCTCAGTGGCCACTATAAATTGATTTCTAATTAGTGATTATTTTTAATAATGTCGGAATTAAATCTCTCGTGTACAAAATATTAATTTTTATTCACCTGAGTTTACAATGATAAGTGCTAAAATATACTTCCACATTTCCATCGCCATTTTTGCCATTATTGTCTACTCGAGATTTGCGATTGGTTATAATTTCCAAATATTACCTGCTGTTCTTACGATACATCTCGAATATAGAATACAGAAACAATTTTAATAACAATACATCGCGTGAGTCATAGTAAAGTTCACATTGGCTAGAATTGACAATGGTTCGGTTATCCGTTTGGTTAGAATTCTTTGCGTTTTGCCTTTATAACGCTTGAACAAGAAATCTTCCCCTTTATTCACGTCCACTCTAATATATATAGTGATATGATTATTGGATAATATTACCACGCTGTAACGAAAAATAATATTTGAATTTTGTGAAAACTTCAAACAAATCGTAGACAACAGAATTTTGTGTCAAACCTCGAAAAACTGATATCAGAGAGAAGCCTGAAGGGTCAGGGGGCCACGCCACCGTCTAGCTGTTACAGAGTATAGTAGCGCCAATCGGGCGCCAAGTTCATATCGATTACTATTTTGTGTATAAGTTTTATAATTAATTTATAAGTTTTACAATCGCCGATACCGCAAAATTGATAATTACAATTTACCTTCACATTTTGAATTATAAACGTCACGTATAAAAGTAATTAGGGAAAGTAAATTTGTGGGTAATGTGTATATTTAATTCGTATATTGTTTGTAAACAAATATGAACAATATTTATTAACATAACATTATTGAAATCTAGTGTTAATTAAAATTAAGTACAGTTGACAGTAGATAGATAGGTAGACTTCAACTTGATCGCTTCTTTGGATGCTCTCACTGTTGTTTGCTTGAAACAAGCATTGCATTAGGCATAAGATCGTCTGATATTTTTGGGATTCGGAAGTACAACAGTATGGTTTATATATAGTAATATACTGGATATTCTAATTTTTACGGTATCAAACTCGTAATTATATAACAAATTATAAAAAGAAGTTTTTCGACGCGATAGTTTAAATAGTTTTAGGAAAAGAAACAATGTTCGCGCGGAGATTCTTTGTTTTTATTCTTGATATTTGTAGTTGTCTTTTAAGCAGTCACTTCGCTAGCTGCACATTTATCGTACATTGCATCAAGGACTTGGATAAATTTGAGATGACGTTCTTCAGGGGCAACAGTTGCACCGCGGCTGCCCCACAAAAACTTAATATGAAATTCAGTGCGAAAGGCGTCCGATAGTAATTCGTCGCTTCTGCAACCTTCTAAGGCGATTTCTGCATTTCTGCGAAAAAGTGGCAGACTCTCGGCTAGTTTACGAGCTGCTTCGAGATGCGACCAGACAATCGACAGACCGCAATCGGGCGCCGAATTTTCCCACGATGAAAGAATTGCTGCCGCGAGTCCGGAAGGCGCCACGGTGCCTGTGAACAGCAAAAATAATACTAACATTGAAAGAGAGAAGAAAAAAAGTGACAGAATAAAAATAATACTTCAATATTTTTAGCATTTTTTAGCAAAAATAATTATTTTTAATAAATACCCAAAACATCTTCAGGACTGCGTTCTCCGAGTAATGCAATTGGTAGCAAATGTGGCAATGTCGTATTAGGCGCCTGCGGATTGGTACATTCGTTCATAGCCCGCAAAGTAGGCCTTAGTTTTGCTTCAAAACTAAAAGCTTCGTCTGTATGTTTTTGTCTTAGCAAATGCCATGTATTAGCCAGTCTCTGAATTTGCGGTAAGCACAGGCCGAGCATTACGCCACAGAAACCGTATAGATTGCCGAGCGCAGTTTTAGTGTCGATCGCCACTTTGATCCATTTGCTAATGGTAGCCGCCCTTTCTGCAATATTAACAATTATTATTCCTTAAAGTTTAATACAAGAGAGATTAACTGTTGTTTTTCATATATATAATTTATTTAATATAAACATTAAGTTTCTCTCTCTCTTTCTATAACCAAAAATGTTATGTCAAAAGTAAATAGAATAATTAGCACATTACAAGACTTACCTATAGCCGTGGCCCCAGCTAGCACAGTAACCGCCACTAGTAGTTTCAAACATTCCGATCTCTCAATCAGATCCATTCTAGCTTGTCTACCATGAGGAAGAGTTGCCAGCTCGATACCGCTCAATCCAGTTCTATTTCCGGATCCTGGTTCAAGCGCCACTTCGAGATCAATTTTCGTAAGATGGGAAGCGAGTACTCTTGGTGCCGAGTCTAATAACATTCCTGAGACTCCCCTCAAGGCTATCGGATCCAGAGGTCTGTGTTCGCCAGTTGGTAAGAGGAGTGTGGTAAAGCCCTCGATATCGAGCATTGTGGTAATTTCTAGAGACGGCGCGGCTACCACCAACTGTTCCTCTGCAGATAATTCGTACTCGCTGCCATTGTTATCATTAATGCCATTGTTACTATTATTATAATGGCTGCGTATTACTACACCCTTAATTGGCACTGAGGAGGAAGGATTGCTGGCGCCACCGGAATTGTTGGTCTCAAACTCGCTATCTCCCGATCCGTTTCCGCTGTCGCTGCCAGAAGCCTGATAGCTTTGATGATGATGATGATGATGGTGGTGATGATGATGATGATGATGATATTGATGGCTTGGCACATAGGGCACTCTGGGAGGCTTTGGTGGTGCCGTACCCAGAGTGTTTTGCAGATTTAGATTCGATAATTGTTGCTGTTGTTGCTGCAGTGCTGGATCAGAGATTACTCGAATAATCTTTTGCCGGCCCAAGGATAGAGAACACGACGGCGGCTGGCTTTGAATTGGCGGTATTCGTGGTAAAGTACTAGACTGGATAGGTAACTGTGGACCTGTTTGTTGATTATCCTCTAAGGCGACATGTTGATCGGGACCATGATGTTGAGCGGTCAGAGAGTGGCTGCGTTGCTGTTTCTTGGGTAAACGAGGCGGCGAACCAGTGGACAAAGAGGATGAAGAAGAATTAGAGCAGTGCTGATTGTTTGTGGTTCCCGCAATGCACGTCAATGGAACCGATCTGGGCCTTGGATTAATGATGCGAGCGCCACTGGCTTGGCTGATTGGCCGGCCACTGCCGACGTAGAAAGTTATTAAATCGGCAACTGTATCGAAGGCCTCATCTTCAAACTGATATTGCGCTCTCTCATAAACCGTGTCGGGCTGAATTACAACCTATCGAGGAAAACCACATTTAAACTTTTATAAGATAATGTGATCTTAAAATATTTTAAGCGAATTTGTTCATTCTGTTGACAAATAACTACAAATGTCGTTCATAATATAATTAACTGCAATGAGAGCTAATAATCTTAAGGCGCTTTTGTTTCCTCGAATTGAATTAATATAATCGCAATTAATCATATTAATTAATAATCGCAATTTACCTTATTAATGACAAAATGAAGTGGTTGCCCTTTCCAGCGCACGGTCAGAACGTAGTTGCCGGGTTGAGAAGCGCAATCGCGCACCAAAAAGTCCCCGTCATTCGGTACTTCCACCTCCGCACCTTTTCGACCGCCACGCAACGTACTGCCATGGTACCAAGCGTGCGATCGTAAATCTCGCGGATCGAGAAGCCGCAATTCTCTTTCTAAGAGCTTGCGAGTGGATTCCTCAGGTGGTTCCTGCGATCAAACAAAAGAAAATTTATATTTCTTATTTCACATTTTCTGTTTTCAGCACTTTATTTGAAGTCTTTGAATTTTTTAAACGCTTCAAAATATTTATAGCGCCAATTAGATCGCATTTGCTAGCATATACTCGGAAAAAGGTGGAACTTGAACTTTTTTTACTTTATATAAATATATAATGAGTCATTATTATCTTGAATTCAATGAATTAATATCATGTCGACATCTTCTCGTATTCTTAATTAATTACTCGGAATGATAGAAGAGACGGTGATAGTATATCGCGCGAGCGTTCTGCGTAAGGCAATTGTAGCAATCAAGGCAGGAAGAAGACGGGACTTTGCAGTCTAGCGAAGATTGGCTTAACAAAAAGAGCCTTCAGCTCTTCGTCACATGATCGTAGTTTGTTACTCGCGTCATCGACGTACCGCATTAACAACCTCGGTTATCGCACAACCTATCATTGCTCGAGTGTATCGTTTCTTTTGTATCGCGCTAAAAAGATTCTCTCTCGCGAGTGTTGTCACTTTAATTGAGATTTATGATTATACGTTTGCACAAATACATATAAGATTTTATTATAAAAAAATTTTTTAAAACATTTATAGATAAAACATTATAGGTAAAAAATATGGCATCCTATGCCATATAATGTGTACAGTTAATTAAATTAAATATAACTAATTTTTACAAAAGTATTCATGACTAGATCCTCAATTAATTCTATACATTTTTTCCAAATAACCATCAAAATTTATAATGGAAAACAAAATTGTCTGTGTACAATCGAGTACTCACCATCGACAGAGACAAATTGTTGTTGCTCTCAAGTGCCTTCGTCGATGGCGATTCACTTTGGTTGGGACATATGTAGCGATCCTCCTTCGCGTCGCTGTCGTTCTCCGGTGTCCTGCGATCAGAATGAAACCTTTAACCCGTCACATTTCACGGCTGTTGTTTTTGACCTCTGACGCAATTTTCTCTCGTGAATTGCGATATCTTCTAAAAGAAGAACTCTCTATGCGGCTCTTCGAATGGGCAGATAGAATTTGTCTGTACTCTCGATTCTCAGAGCACGCGCACGCACCCCACTGACCAGCGCAAGCTTACAAACTCGAGCCGCAGGTCCGTATTTTCGCAAGGTATCACAAGAGTATCACCGGATATCAATAGATTATATGAAAAACGCGCGAAGAAGAATGAGACAGCACACAAAGAGAAATTAATTGCATGCCAATGAAAATATTTTCTTCTTTGCCCACATGTCTGTATCGGCATTTATTACATAAACTCGAAAATTTGACAGAGCTTGTATCCTATGTGGCACACCAAGATTAAATTCCTGTATTAAAATAATTACAAAGTTGAATCAGTCATCATTCACGCGACAATAACTACTACCATTTCTACGCATTTTTAAACCCTTGATTATACGTCACTGCGAGTTATCGCCCTCGTTGTTTTCACCCGCTCTGCTTCTACTTGTTCCTTTCCCCGTCTGTCAAAGCGAGCAGTTTTGACAGATGACGAATATCAAAATACATGCGCACCGAGATTAGATGCTTCGCATGTTGCGTTTCGCGTCTAAAAACGCAACGCAGTTAGTAAAAAATGTACCGTTATCTTTTAATGCTTTCGAATGGGTTATTCCGTCAATATGGGGGTTATTGATCTCGGATAAGAGCTCTGTAAAGGGGGAGGAGGGGCGTGCGGCCAAGGTGCGCTTGCGTCATCCGAAAACGTTCGATAAGCAGCATCGAGGTGCATTTTTGGTCAATATATTGTACTTCCACACTATAAAGAAAATAATTTCAAAGTATGATTTTTTATGCAGTTTTATTTATTTCAAATTTTTATTATCATCATAATTAAAGCTGTCCATAATTTCTCTCTCTTTCTCTCTCTCTGCAATAATCCCATGTCGTGAAAAGAGAGAAAGAGAGAAAAACTATAATGTAAATTTGCATATATTATATTGCAATCTAGCAATATAATAAATATAGGTAAGATACGTGTGAAATTCCCGCATTTGTTGACTATCGTATACGAGGTAAATACGTCTTGTATCTTAAAGACAAAGATCTAAGAAAACCGGTTCGGGAGAATCGTCAGTTCCATTATAATCTCATACCGGTATTTCGATACCATACCTTCGCAAGACTAATTCATAAGTTATAACTTTGAGACATACCTTGGACTATTCCTAGAGAAATTGTTAGGTGACGGCAATGTCACAATCAAACTTGGCTCCTTCTGAATGATCGCTTCCGGTTGTAGATGTATCGTGTGCCTTTTTTGCCTAAGATCTTTACACGAGTCCAATGAAGCAAGACCGTTTCGTTTGCGTCGTCGGCCGCTGGTGCCTAGGGTCTGCAGTGCATTCATAGATGGGAATCGGAAGCTCCATGCTATGCCTAAAAAAGGCACAGAAAAATTTATATGTGAAACTTACCGCATCTTCTTTTTTAATCAAATTATGATAAATTAATGTATGCATGCAGCATAAACGCAAGTATGCATAACCAATAAAATTAAAAACTGAAAAATTGATTATTAATAATAAAAGACTTTTAATTTGATATTAATGACAATGATAATTATGCGCTTGATCGTAATTAGTGTAATCTTAAATAAAAACAATATTTACGCAATTCAGAACGAGGTGCATATTTTATTGCGTAATACATTTTCTCGTTGAATTTTTTCGCTTATTTAATAATATTATTATACTACTTGTTAAGATTTTCATTTTGAGATTTGTAATGTTCTGATTTTCAATCATTATACAACTTTACGGTACATATAAATGCACGAGTTATACGAGTGATATTTTCACGCATATCGCTATAAAATTAGCTTAATACAACACGCATAATAAATACGTGAATTTCGACCTATACTCACGCATGTTTGCGCCGTTTCTTAATTTTACTACACTCAAAAAAATGTCTTGCTGATATAGGTAGATTTCTAGGTGTCACAACAAAACTTTATCGCTATTTTTTGTATCTGTTAGAATATTGTCTGTTACATATAGAATTTATAGCAGCAATATTCTAATAATATCTTCTAGAAAATTTAGGTCCCATTGCCAAATGTTAATCACTGCATTGGATAAATATGAGTTTCGATACTACAGCTAAACGATCTTTGTGAGAAATATAATTGCCAATTATAACTGCAGCATCGAAAAATTGAGAAAAATTGTTTAAAAGAGCTAGATAGATTGAGCGCGTTATACAAATATGTTAGACGTGAGGATTATATATTCATTTGTTTCTTGCCGCTAATCTTTTCTGTATACCACAGCCAAACTTTATAACAAGTATGATTGGCCTTAACATGGATAGGCGCCACAGAAAAACATTCTTTCTAAATTTCACAAACAGTTCAGATATAAATTCTGTCTCTGTCACTTAGATTGATTAAATGCGAAACATATGCGATATCACAGTATTTGCTAATCATTTATGTACCTCAGTTAATTTTGCGCACCCAGAAAATTTTTGCTGTAGTTGCAATACCACTTTTTTGAGTGTATAATTCTATTCTCACAGCTGTTACATTGCATAATTTTGCACAACAGTAAGCAATAATTAGCATGACTGTTATAACTTTATTGAATTTATTTGGGAGAGAAAGAGAGAGAGAGAAAGTCACATATAATATTTAGCACTTTAAATTTTTAAATTAGTATTAAAAGAGCAACACGGTCAACCAAATTACTACTTGCAATATATTAAACGCGTTTCATATTTTCGTGATTATGCGCGCATGCATAAACGGTTTGGATCAAACTTGGTTTCAATGTACCATGGACATGGAGCTATGGAACCCCCTTACCTTTCGATAACTTGTTCGCGTTTGAAAAAGCGAAGTGGTGGAATGCAGGTGAGTAGGATCGTTTGTTTCTTTCACTTTCTCATATGTATTATCCGCTTCGCTATCTCTTTTTCTCGCATTTACATTTACTGCGTATTACATTTGTCTGCACATTTCTTTCCTTTAATGAATTGCTTCCTCTGTCCACAAGTGAACATAATACCTAGTGATAACATTGTTCTTTGTCGGATATATATATATATTTTTTATACCAATATTTAGAAAAATACTATATTAATTAAAAAATAAGAAGGCAATTTTAACGCAATTTTGCTGTTGCAAAACTTGAAATTTGTAAATTTTAATCTTTATGAAAACAAAGGCAAAATAATTATGATTTTAAAGCTAAATAATTTTTGATCCTATTTTTTATGATACGCTAAAATACATGAAATGTCTATCGCATTTAACATACGTAACACACACACAGAGCGATATAGATTAGAAAGATAAAAATTTATTAAAAAATGAAATATATTCTTTGTTTTCATATTTTTAAGCTATATTCTTCATTAATTTTTATAATAATTTTAGTATGCCACCGATATAATATAATCATAAATTTCATGTTGGTTTAACGTTGATTCATATATACATACAATATTATATAAATGTATTCATTCAGTGACATATATTACTTGAGTTATGTATGCATCGTTGCGTATTGGATATTACTTACGTAACGTTTATACAATTTACGTTATGTTTTACGAACGCCGTTCTCTCGGTTTCCCCCGTCTATTGTACATACGATATACAATCGTACGGATGGAGAGATGAGGTGGGGATGCGGTGATTAAACAGAATACACACGTGTCTTCATACAACCCAATCCGCACGCATACGTCATCAGCGATAAATACGACGTGCGCGATATTATACAATTTACGTTATAGTATATACGAACGCCGTTCTCTCGGTTTCCCCCGTCTATTGTACATACGATGTACAATCGTACGAATGGAGAGATGAGATAGGAACGCGGAGATTAAACAGAATGTGTGTGTGCACACGTGTCTTCATATAATCCGATCCGCACGCATACGTCATCAGCGATAAATGCGACGTGCGCGACATCGCCAGTCGCCTTTCCCTCGTCAACGACACACCATCGGAAACTTCACTACATATAAACTCACTAGACGCACTAGACTAACATACAATTGCAATTTTTTATTTATCATTAATTTATCAATATCATTTGCATGACAAATGCTTGCATATTGAAAAAAAAAAATTCAAACAATTTCTTTTTTCATCTATTTTGTTACAAATACGCACCTCGTTCAATCAAAACTTTCTACACAGGATGTCGGTAGACGCACCGCCTATCGGTATTTCCTATCGAGGGATAAAAGATCGCGATGGACTCGAGATAATTTATAAACGTGAAAAGCAATATGAAAAGAAACGTGGTATTATATGAAATGTGTAGGAAAATGCGTACTGACTCTGACTTCTCCGCGATTTCAGTTTGCTGGCGGTCTTGCCCATTTTCCCGCCAGGCGCATGCCAGCGGTTTCCTGATCACGTCGCAAGAATTTCCCCAAAATGAATTCACTCAAAGGTGCACTGATGCAAACGAAATGGCCACAGCTCGGACGCACTGACACGACACGGATGCAGCAACGTGCGACGCAGTCTGACCGCAGCATAATGCGATACCGAACTAACTGAGAATTGATGTGAGTGAGTGAGCGCAAACATACTAGAAGAAGGGACCAGACCGACCGACCGACCGACTGAATGACCGAGCGATACGCAAGTGGCGCTCACAGCGTGAGGAAGGAGGAAGGTTGCAAGGTGTGGAACAGCTGACAGAATGAGAGAGAGAAAAAGAAAAAAAAATGAGATGGAGTATAAATATGAGTTTTGAAAGAGTGAGAGATGATGTACAATATATATATACCCAGACAGCACAAAACGTCCTCAGGATCATCCTGAATATGTCCAGGATGGTTCAGGATATTTGTAGGATGTTTTAAGATATTATTATAAATATATTTTATGAAAATTTAATATGCATACATGATTACTTTCGGTTATGTAGGCTATTTAATATAATTTAGAAATTTTAAGTATTGTAATAAGTATTAATGTCCTATAAATGTCCATTGGATAACCCCTGGATGTCTGTAGGATACCTGCCCTGTCTATTATATTGAATGTCCTTTGGATTTCCAGAGGACATATACATGTGCAATTAACTGTTAACATTAATTTCGTTTAATATTAATAATTGAATTTGATGCGCACATTTTCACATATTCAAAATTATTATTTATTTAATAATTTATGAGAAATGTTACTATGCGCAACATTCCAAAAACTTTACAAAAAATAGTATTCAACCGCTAGTTAGTTTGTTTACCGCTATGCGAAGCGCAAACTCGTATTTGAGATTTGGTCATGAGAATTATATAAAGCTTGCAAAGAGCAACTAACAGGAAATTAAAAATATAATTATTTTTTATCAGTTCAATTTCTGATGCAATCCAAACATAAGGAAGTCAGATATTGGATTGTTTTGAAAATATTACACGACTCAAACCCGGAAGCCAAACCTAAAATATTCATGTACAGCACGAAAACCTCAAATATTAAAGAACGTGAACTATTTTTAGTATTAGATTTTTAGTATTGGCAGTAAATAACAGAACGCAATCTTAATTTATATTTAAATTTTAGAATTTGTTCCTTTTAACGTATGAAAAATATCCCTAACATATCCTATAGAAATCCTTAAGATGTTCCACAGGATCTCCCTGGATTCTCCAGAGGCTAGTGTACGGCTATCATTTACTCTTCCTCAGGACATCCAGAGGAGATCCGAGGATTAAAATAGGATATCCTCAGGATATCCTACATGTATGTCCTGGATGCCCTTTGGACGTCCTAAGGACATCCTTGTGCTGTCTGGGTATGTATACATAACGGAAACTGAATAATGAAAAATTTGAGAATAATTTAATTTATTAGACTTTAGTTTAAACAGAAAAGCATCATATTACCGCTTAGGCCTTGTTTATTAGTGCTATCAGAATTTGTCAGAATACATCGAATTTTACAGTCAATTCTCAATATATTCTCGCTCTCTCTCTTT